GCTTTCCTGCAGACCTATTCCCACGAGGTCTCCCTCACTGCGGACTCGCGGAAGAGTCACCTGATCTTCCCCCAGCCCAACTACGCTGACACGCTCATCAGCCAGGAGAGCTGTGAGAAAAAGGATTTTTTATCAGCTCCTCAATCTCTACTCGAAGATGAAAGAGAAGAAACGTCTTCTCAGGTAATCTATCTTTTCACAACATCCGTACAAGCTAGTTTGCTGAAGTAATTCACTTACTTGTTTACTATATCTATTTTGTTCCCCATATTTCCTTGAGGGCAGAGTCAAGTTGTAGGAAGTGAGTCTTGGTGAATTATTTCTTGGTAGGTCTTAGTGTTCACAGGCTGTAAGAGGAAGAAGAGACACGAGAATCGTTGTGCAATGAATGTAAACCAGGAGCTAATAGATGATTATCCAAAGAGCACTGCATTGAGTAACTAGGGTATCTGGTCTCTCACACTTTCTTCTTCACCCCTGGGCAAATAATCTCATCCACCCAGATCAACAATTTTTTCTTTGTTAAAAATATAAAGATTGGAGTTTATGTTTGCTCAAGTCCTTTCTTCTTTTAAAATATGACTTTTACTTTATATTTGAATCTGTATATGAACAGTGAAACACCTTAGTCGGCTAATTCTTTCTCATTCAGTCTTAATATATTTCTCTCAGTTTGACAGCAAAATTGTTTTCCTTAACTTGCATGCCCTTCCCTGTTAAAAATATGGAAATTTAGAAATATACGTTCCTTACGGTGTTTCCGGAAGTTATGTCATATTATTTAGGCTTAGTTTTAAAAATCACATTAGTCTCTAAGCTATATGCTTCTTGAAGAAGTGACTGACTTATCATCTGCTCTATAATAAAGTTGTAGAGTAGTAATAAACAGGTTTCTCCTTTTCTTATCTTTCTCATATGTGGGAACCATATTGCCTTTTAATCTTTAAAATAATATATATCCTCAATATAGTTTTGCTTAAAGAAAAGATACAAAAGATTCATATCATACAATTGTCCAGAACCATCTTTTGTATACATCTCTCTTCTCAAGGTTTCTACTCACAGTAGCTGCTAGAAATGTTCCCAATCCCTCACCCAATCCCAGTGCCCCTCTGAACAATTTTCTTTTCCCATTCCTCTTCCTATGTTGGCTTTTAGTATGTTGGTTATGTATTTAATAACAGAGAACAATAAACACACTAATGTTCTATGTAAATGGCATAATTTTTAATTTTTATTTGGAAATTATCATGTACCAATTGAGCCTTTTATTGAATGACACCGTATCTCTCAAAGTGCCGTGATTCTTTATGTTGCATCTTTTCTGAGGCAACGTGTTGTTTTGGTTACTATTACATAATTCTCTATGAGTAAAATTGGAACTCACTGTGGCATAATATGTCACAATATCTTTACTTGTAAGTGAATAATAAAGTATAAACAGGATAATTAAAGCAGTTATTTTTAGTGTGTGTAGTAACTCCACAAGAATAAATGCCTTATGCATAGATATGTCATGCATCATGATTGAAATGACAAATATATGTGTTTATATTTCTGTGCTTGGAAACTTATAGAGAAAGAGATTCTGGAACATAAAAGCTTATTTTTACTAGTTTTAGTTGTGGGTTTTGAAAAAACATCCTTACAGTCTAGGTTTAAACAAAGCAAACTTCTTTCAGTACCCTGAGGGGCTGTGATTTCTCTCTCACATCTAGGCATTGTCATGCTGTTCTCTCCCACATCCAGGCCTTTTCACTGATCCACTCCTCTCATGTTTCCTGGGAAAGCCTTTGCTAACCTTAAAGGCCCAATTGAAGGCCCCCCTAACCCCTTCGGCTTTTCCCACTATGGTAATTATCTCAGCACGCTACAATTCCCTGTTTGCTTTTATATCCTTATAATCTCTGTGAAGGAAGTGACTGTGTCTGTATTGTTCACCTGAAATCCCTAAACATATTGTCTGACACCTAATTATGTATTTGTTTAATGAATATTAAATAACAAATATTGAAACTAAGTCATCAGGTCACCAAGAACAAACTTAAAGAAATATAATATATAAATATGGGTGATATTTCTGTGTGCTTCTTTTCTTCTTTTCCTTCTCTCAGCTCTTAGAGAGTTAAAAGTATAGAGAGGGAAAGGTGAAAGATATCTTATCAAATAACCCTGATAAATGTAGTAAGTATAACAATAAACACATTATCAAGATACAGTGGTTGAAGAACAAGTGGTGGTCATGTCTTTTAATAGTTGTGTTGGTCCTTAGGGCCAGTTCTTTGTTACTGTGTGTTTCTTAAACTGAACAGTTCAAAACGGTTAACTCCACTATGTCTGAAGCAATATTGGTGGCATTAAGGTTAGTGCATGGATTCCCAAGAAAGATAACTTGAGGCCACACTGTTTAACATATATCAATTCAATTATGTTCAATCAACACTAGTCCTCTTATCTCTGACAAGAAGGATTTCAGGTCTTGGATAATTCAAAAATAATCATCTGTGTTTGTCTGAGAGGATGCAGTAAACGGTTAGGCCTCTTAGTGTCGCTGTTGACCACTCAAGAAGGAGAACGCAGCTGGAGAACTAGTCCACCATTTCCTTGCTCCTGCAATGCAAAGAACCAGCAAATTAGACTCAGAAAATCCGAGGCGGCTGCCAACCTCACCTCTTAGTCAACGAGCGGTTTGACCTGTGAATTAGGCCCGTAAAATACTTCGTTTCTTGAGAAAATAAGATTGGAGTCCGTCGTGGGAAACTGGAACCGAATTCAGAGAAAGCTATTCCCCGAAAAGGAAATGACCAAATGCCTGAGTTTCCGAAATGGCAGAGGACTGGCCCTGCTGTGCGCGCTTCTGGGGACGCTGTGTGAAACAGGATCCGGTCAGATCCGCTACTCGGTATCTGAGGAGCAAGATAAAAGTTCCTTCGTGGGCAACATCGCTAAAGACCTGGGGTTAGAGCCCCGGGAGCTGGCTGAGCGCGGAGTCCGCATCGTCTCCAGAGGTAGGACGCAACTTTTCTCTCTGAATCCGCGAAGCGGTGGCTTGGTTACCGCGGAGAGGATAGACCGGGAGGAGCTCTGCGCTCAGATCCCGCTGTGTCTGGTAAAATTTAACATCCTGGTTGAGGATAAATTGAAAATTTTTGAAGTAGAAATAGAAATTAAAGATATTAATGATAATGCTCCTAATTTCCCAACAGAGGAATTGGAAATAAAAATTGGTGAACTAACGGTTCCTGGAACCCGATTTCCACTTAAAACTGCTTTTGACCCAGATGTAGGCATGAACTCCCTGCAGAACTACAAGCTTAGCCCTAATGACTACTTCTCCCTGGCTGTGAATAGCATCTCTGAGGGGGCCAAGTATCCAGAGCTGGTGCTGGAGCAGGCCCTGGACCGTGAGAAAAAAGAAATTCACCAGCTTGTCCTGGTTGCCTCTGATGGTGGCGACCCTGTCCACTCTGGCAACTTGCACATCCAAGTGATAGTCCTGGATGCAAATGACAACCCACCAATGTTTACTCAGTCTGAGTACCGTGTAAGTGTTTGGGAGAACGTGCCTGTGGGTACCCGGCTGCTCACGGTGAATGCTACTGACCCTGATGAGGGATTCAACGCTCAAGTGTCTTATATTCTAGATAAAATGCCTGGGAAAATCGCTGAGATTTTCCATCTCAACTCAGTAAGTGGAGAAGTTTCAATATTAAAAAATCTAGATTATGAGGATGCCATGTTCTATGAAATTAAAATTGAAGCACAGGATGGACCAGGTCTTCTTTCAAGAGCCAAGATTCTACTCACGGTTCTGGATGTGAATGACAATGCTCCAGAAATTACAATTACGTCTCTCACAGGCTCAGTCCCAGAAGAGGGCACCGTTGGAAGAGAAATTGCTCTTATCGATGTGCATGACCGAGATTCTGGGCAGAATGGGCAGGTTGCAGTTTTTGTCCTGGGAAATCTGCCATTTAAGTTAGAAAAATCAATAGACCAATATTACCGCTTAGTGACGGCCACATCCCTAGACCGCGAACAAATGTCAGAATATAACATCAGTCTGAGAGCCTCAGATGGGGGAAGCCCGCCACTGTCCACAGAAATTCACATCATCCTGAATGTAATTGACATCAATGACAACCCACCCACCTTCCCTCACTTATCCTACTCCGCCTACATTCCAGAAAACAACCCCAGAGGGGCCTCCATCTTCTCAGTGACGGCCCAGGACCCAGATAGCAACGACAACGCCCGCATCACTTATGCATTGACCGAGGACACCCTCCAGGGGGCGCCCCTGTCCTCCTACGTCTCCATCAACTCCAACACTGGCGTCCTATATGCGCTGCGATCCTTCGACTACGAGCAATTTAGAGACTTGAAACTACTGGTGACAGCCAGCGACAGCGGGAACCCTCCACTCAGCAGCAACGTGTCGCTGAACCTGTTCGTGCTGGACCAGAACGACAATGAGCCCGAGATCCTGTATCCCGCCCTCCCCACAGATGGTTCCACCGGCGTGGAGCTGGCGCCCCGTTCCGCAGAGCCGGGTTACCTGGTGACCAAGGTGGTGGCGGTGGACAGAGACTCGGGCCAGAA